TCACTAGTCTCTACTCCTAAACAGCCAGGCTACTGAGAGAGCCTGGTTATGCATCAAGATGTTCCAGAACTGTGGCATGGGGAACAAGGTGTCAACAGACAGAACACTAGGGATTTCTGCTCAGAAATGACAGCTGTTTCTCACCACTGTTAAATAATTCCCTGGGCTCCAATAAACACACATTAGAAGACAAGTAGCAAGGACTTCACTCTTCACAGGTACAAACAACCATAGGAGAGCCTTTTCTCTCCCACTCTCCATAGACTAGTGAAATCAATGCTTCTAAATAAGGGAGAAGTGTTGGCCCTGCTATCCAAAAGTGAGGGTGAATGGAAATACACTTCCCAGCTTCTCTGGCTTTATGAGATCTACCAATAGAAGTGGCAGTATATGGATGAGAAGCACACGTTGGAGTCAGAAGATGAGGGTTGCACTCACAGCTATGCCATCAACAAACAAGCAGTGCTGAACACACACTGCTTAATTTATCTTCCAGTCTGGGCTTCTAAATAAAAAATGGAGGCAATACCTGCTCCTCACAAGAATGCAGGTTTTCGGGAAGAAGGCTGGCTTACAAGTCAGCAGCCCTTTAATTCCAACTCCAGCTCAGCTGTCCAATGGAAGACCACACTCAATTACCCAGTTGCTCTAAGCTTTTTTCTTCCCTAGAAGTGAACACCATTTATCCTTCAATCTCAGGCTGGTTTTGAAGGCATGGTTCAGATTAAAACAAATCTAGTACAGTTAAGAAAGCATATAAATGCAAACTTACATTACAGCAATATGAAATTTTGCTCAGAGTGAGCATTTCAGGTCAGCTGTTTAAAGAATTAAGCTTGTTTCTTAATTCTGCTGAAGGAGACCAAACACAGCAGAGTTCAATTCTAGGCTCGCTACTCACTGACCAATCTAGATGTACTGTGCCTGCATTGTTCCAGCCCTCTGATGTGATTCTATTTGGGTGCTGGAAACTGCACCCATTTTCAGTCACAATGATGGATGCTATGCATGAGGTCCAAGGCAATCAGGATAATCCCAGCTGCTACCATGGTAACTGCTTCAGGAAGCAGTTAGTGTTGAAAGTGTGTTTCAATGGCTGTACGGACAGTCACTCTTCACACTTGGGTGAATGAGGCATATAGCCCTGGGAGTTACTGGCAGCCATTTATATATCAAAGCAGAGTGAAGCCAGAGCTGGGAAAATGGTAGAAAATGAGCCACTGCTTTGATGACATCATGATGCTTTGTATTCAACTGTATCCCAAGCTAGTATCTTCTGGGGAGTTTTATTAGGTGAGGCAACACATTTTCTTGACAGAGTTTGAGTTTCTCTGTTCTTACTAGACAAATTTCTTCCTTATCGTGTACCAGATTACTCCAAACAAGTTTTCATTATCCCTCTGAACTTCAGTTTCTTGATCTACAATGGAAATGGGATGATATCCATCTACCCTATATGAGATTGCTGTGAAGTCCAATAGTGCTTTTAGCACTATACTTAGCACAAAGTGAGCATCAATAAAAGTGGTGTGAATTGTCTTATGTTCAGCACCCAGACTATGCCGGATGCCTTATGTGCATCTCTCACTGAATAACTGCATCAGAGTCTGAGGGTTTGCTGTGCTCATTTTACAAATGAAGAAATGAGGGCTCAAAAATTTCTTGGGACACACAGGTACTTAATGGGTATCAGATAAAATTTTCACAAAGTACAGTTCCTTCTCCTTTAAAAATAATATTTGAACAAATGATTCATATTGATCATATAATAGAAATAGAATGCCTGGATGCCTATAATGCGCCAAGTACTACTAAGTTTAAGAATATAGTGGCAAATACCTACACATTTGGATTACAGAAGAACTTAGATTAAATTTGTACCTTGGATCTATTGTCATCATCCTAACAGCTGAGCTAACTGCCATCACCTGCATGCTATAGTTACAGGAAAAGCACAGACAGTAACAGGAAGTTATACAATGGGAAGCATATAACACTCTAGAATGTGAATGTGTCTTACCATCAACCCCAAAGAGAATCCAGAGCATCCTGAGGGGAAATCAAATGTTTCTGTTTGATCCCTGTAGTGATATATTGTTTATGATTTATTAAAGCTTGCCTGAAGATTCAGAAAAGCAAAGACAGCCTCAAGATATAGTGATCAGGCAGTGATGACACACCTTTAATCCCAGCAGCCAGAAGCTAGGAGGTGGTGGTACACACCTTTAATCCTAGTACTCAGGATTAAGAGAAAGCCGGTTTTCTGTGATTCCAAGGCCACTCAGATCTATACAAGAATGAATCAGTCTAAAACAGAATTATAGCTCACACCTTTAATTCCAGCATTAGGGAAGTACATAAGACAGAAGCAAGGTCTCAGGGAGGCATTTTAGTTCTCCAGCCACACTGAGGAGAGGCAGCAGTTTGAGACTCGTGTGTGGATCAGTCCTTTCAGCCTGAACTAGAGGTAAGAGCTAGTGGCCAGCTACTTTGCTTTTCTGATATTCAGCTTGAAGCTTGAACCCCAATATCAGTCTCTGGGTCATTTATTTATTGGTGTTACAGATTCCATAGTTAAAAACTTGTATGCAGTTTCTAAGAAGGCTGAACAATACAATTAGTTTTGCCAGAGGGACAGAAGAAAAAAGACCAGGGACTGTAGCATACTATTTTCTTAGGAACTCTCCAGGGAAGTCAAATGGTATGCTTCACTGTTTATCTGTGGGTGACATTCTCCAAATGTCTTTTACATATGGGGTGCCTCTTATAAAACTACAGTCACCAGTAGCATAAAGAATGGCAACATGGATAATAGCTACCGTGAAACTCCCCTTACAACTGCCGTTGTGTGTGCAGATCAAGAAATAGTATATAAAAAAGACATAACAAGACCAGAAAAACATAAATAAGCTCAAACTTGTCTTCATGACAACTAGGCATTTTGTCTAAGCATCAGAATACATCCCAAGTGAGATTTCACAAGCTTTGGGGGTGGGGGACCTGCTCTCCCACTCTCCCTTACCCCAAGTTTTTCATGAAGATTTGACAGAAGGATCTAAGAAGATGTTAGAAAACATTCCTGTAGCCAACACAGTGGTTTTATGCTTGTATACCTCTCTGATTTTATACTTGTATGATGTTCACCTATACTGAAGCAAACAGATGATGGAGAATGCAATTTGTTCCTTGTCTTTTTATAGCTTTGTCTTTGGTACGTGAGAGTTGTGCAAACGAACAAACTGGTAACCAGAGATATAATTTTGTTCTTTCTAGGTAGGAGACATTGGGCACATTATTAAGACTCTCCAAGGCCATTTATAAATATAAAATGAAAATAAAACTTACCTCATATGATTGTGTAATAACTGAAATAAAAAAGGGCTCTGCTCAGGGGGTGGAGAGATGCCTCTGTAGTTAAGACCACTTCCTGCTCCTTCAGAGGACCCAGGTTCAGTTCTCAGAACCTGCCAGATGCTCATCACCACTTGTAACCCCAGCTCTCAGATCTGGCTTCTTTGGGCATCACATTCATTTGCATATCCTCCTAACGCATGCTGAAGTAAAAATAAATCTTTTAAGGGCTCAGCTCCTAGATAGCAGTTACTCACAAAAAGAATTTTCTTTCACTTTTAATTTTCCAGCAAGGTATCTATTTAATGTATGTGGTGGTTTGAAAGAAAATGGTCCCCAAAGAGAGTGGCCCTATTAAGAGGTGTGGCCTTATTGAAGGAAATGTGTCACTGTGGGGACAGGTTTTGAGGACTCTTTTGCTCAAGCTTCGCTCAGTGTGATACTATTTCCTGTTGCCTGGAAGATGTAGGACTCTCAGCTGCTTCTCTAGTACCATGTCTACCTTAATGCTGCCATATCCCACCATGATGATAAAGGTCAGAACCTCAGAACTGTAAGCTGCCACCTCAATTAAATGCTTTCCTTTATAAGAGTGGTGGTGACGTATGCCTTATTCCCAGTGCTTGGGAGGCAGAGGCAGGAGGCTCTGTGAGTTTGAGGCCAGCCTGGTCTACAGAGTGAATTCCAGGACAGCCAGGATTGTGTCACAGAGAAGCCCTGTCTAAAAAAAACAAACAAATAAATAAATAAATGAATAAATAAATAAATAAATAAATAAATAAAAAGAGCTGCCATGGTCATGGTTTCTCTTCACAGCAGTAGAAACACTAAGACAATGTGTTTCACCGGGGGTTGGTGGTGCATGCCTTTAATCCCAGGACTCGGGAGGCAGAGGCAGGCAGATCTCTATGAGTTCAAGGCCCGCCTGGTCTCCAGAGCAAGTGCCAGGATAGGCTCCAAAGCTACACAGAGAAACCCTGTCTCAAAAAAACCAAAAAAAAAAACCAAAAAAAAAAAAAAAAAGACAATGTGTTTCAAGAAAATCATCCCTCTAAAAGATAAAACCTAAGGTTTTACCAATTTGAGAGCATAAATAAACTGCCTAATGAACTCATGTTTTAAATTTTACTTCCATTCCCTCACAGCATGGTCATCAACTTCTGGCTTCACCAGGGATATTCCTGGAGCACCTTCCCCCATGTCCTCCTTCCACAGCACCTGGCCATAAGTCAGCAAAAGAATGAGGGCAGCGCTCTCTCTTGCATCTCTGGGTACTGCCCTCTGTGAGAACACAGTGGTGTCCTCTGGGATCCTCCAAATGCCCATATCATCACAGCACGAAGACCATCCTCCCCTCTACCGTACTGCTCACTCTGTCACCTGAACCTCAAGCAGCACCTTCTGTGCCTCTGAGTAGGAAAGGCGTCTAACACTTGGGGTATTCCCCTTGAGAGTTCTTCCTTTTTCCACACACCCCCACACTCCAGTGCAGACCATCACCTTCAGACTGTCAGTTACCCATTTCATAACCACCCAGACTCCAATTCATTTTGGCTGAGCAGGAAGTTCTTTATAATAATCACTACACTCAGGGTATGCATCCACGAGAGGGGCCTGATTTTCAAATCTAAACCAAGTATGGATGACAATGAGATGCACAATATAAATTTATTCTATGACATTTTCCTCATTGTAAGTATTGTAAAATAGATTAAAACACATCAATATTTCATGAAAGATACGAATCTAGAAAAAAATTCAGACATCTGTAATATACATGACTTGACCTTAATTATCCCTTTTTGTCCATTTAAAACATCATTTTTAGGAGTTGCATAAAAACGATGAGTACGGATGTATTCTTCATAGCCCACGTCTCATACATTTTATTTCAACTTGTAGTTTTTTTCTCAACTATGTATGTCAGTGGTATCTGTTCCTGCTTCTGAATGGGGAGAGCTGCCGTTTTCTGTTTCCTAACGGTGGTGTTTAGGTCCTCTTTCTCTGAGTCCTCAAGAAAACGCTTCACAGTAAGCTTGAACAGCAGCCGAGGGTCTGGTCCAGAGAGCGGTGGGCAATTACAGACCTCCCGAAGTTTGAGAGCCTACAAAGAAGAATACAATGCAGTTCCTCACATGGTCTGCACAAGACAACCAAAAGTAAGAGAATGCATCTTCGTGTTTAAACAGAAGTTAACTCAAGTACAACACATGAAGAAGAATCACAGGTAAGCTTGTCATCACTTTTCCATGGCCTGATCTGGTAACCGCCCTTTTTAAGGCAGAAGCTGTATGTGTGACAATAGTCACATGGTAAGGTAACAGGTCTCCCAGAGAGGAAACGGTTTCGTCACCCTTAGCAAATCCTGAGAACAAAGTCAGATTAACCAGGCTCTGAAGATTCTGTAAGAGATTTTATTTTCAACCAAAGAAAACTAATAGAATGTCCATGACTGAACTCACTGAAGAAAAACAACAACAAAAAAGTTGCTCGCAGCTGTGACCTTCTAGGGTGGAATAGATGCTAATGACAGAGAAGGAGCAGAAAATCAAAATCACAACAATTTTTAAGTCTAGAGAGAATAAAATGTTGTGGGGAAAGGAAGAGTAATTATAACACACTTCGTAACTTAGCTGTAACTGATGTTTATGGTTTAAAATACCAAATCTTGAATCAACCCAAATCACAATTTAATCATTTGGGGAAGAGAGCAGCATGCGTGTGCTTGCATGGCTGTGACAGTGGAGACAAGAAAGCTTGATCCAGTTCTCTGCAGTAGAAAATAAACAGAAGGCTTAAAACTGGAACACTAGGAAACGGCAACATAAGCCTGTAATTTACATATGCTGGGAAAACCCAAAACAGCATGTAACAGCATAGATAGAGTCACTACAGACCCAGAGGGCGGCCTCCGAGCGCTGGTACACATAACCAGCCCCAGACCACCTAACTCTGCAGAGGGCAGGGAGAAAGAAGGATAAACAGGCATGGAATGTTTAAGGGCAGAGAAAAACAACCCTCTGAATACTATAGGTTGGATACACACCATACCACATGTCCAAACCTACAGAATGTATAGAACCATGAATAAACCATGGTCTTTTCACTTAGCACATGCACTTTGGAAATGATTGGTCTGCTTCCTTAATCGCCAGGATAACGATTTCCTATTACTGTTTTCTTGTGTGAGGACTGTTGCATTCCACTAGCTCTCAAGAAAAATTGTATTACATATCATATATACATATATATGCAAAACCTTTTGAATAGTAACATTTATTTAATATCGTAGTAAAATATTTTCTAGATTTTTTGGGCTTTCTTTCTATATGTTTTATTACATTTCAGTGTGCTAACATCTTTTCCCTTTTATAAATTCAAATCTATCATATTAAATAAATCTTCAAAATTTCTTCAAAAGTGAGAATTTTCCCCATGTGTACCTAGAATATGCCTTGCACTGCCCTTTGTTCTGTCTGACTCTATGAATTGCACGTAAGAGACATTTCATAAATGCAGGCTGGATTTTAAACTATGAATAATCATTTTAATAAGTGTAAAAATATCATGAAGAGTCTACAGTGTATGGAAAAATAGAAAGATAATCCAATAACAAGAATATATAGTTCCAAGAATCCTGAGGAAAACTGAAGGGAAGCATGAATCGACCTGCCTTAAAGAATCTAAACTGTCAAGAGATCAACGGGAATCCAGTATGCACTCTGTACCTTGCTCTGCACCTGTAATTTACAAACATTGTCTAAGCTCCTGTTACAATGCAAAATGTGCAGAGGTGAGGAGGGCAAAGGATGGCAGGGCAGGGCCTTACCCACACAGACACATAGGTTCATAAAGCAGAACTTTGAAGGTTCTGATAACCTAACAATGTATGGAGAAAAGCAGAGGCTAGACTTTTTCAAAGTAAGGCCGGAATTAAAGCAAAGACTCCTAAGTGCAGTGTTATTTCTATATTGCCAGTTCCTGTGGGCATCTTTTTCTCATTACTGAGCATAATTTCCTACAGCTAATATCGGCTAAGCACTGCAGCACTATTTATTTCTACTGCAGAATATCCTATTTTTAGCTATTTTTCTATTATTATATATATCCTAGGGTCACTTAAGTTCTCACTAGGTATCTCAGAAGCTGTGAGAGCCACCAGGGAGACCACAGAAAATAGGGACCACATATTCCACAATAGAAGACAACCAATCAACAGTAAACAAGATCGTTCTAGTTCAAAAAGTGAGAATGACTGCATGAGAGACAGACTATTTGACACTGAGGGACCAGAAAAAGCCTCTTTGGGGAGGTGATGTCTAGAACAGAGAAATCCACAACCAGGGGTCTATAAGGAGGAAACAGGCCTGGCATGAAATGAGTAGAACCAAGGAAAACCTTGGAGCAAGACTGGTGTAAAGCTAGGGAGCAAGACAGGCAGTGACCTGTAACCTAAATAAAACCATTCCACCCCCAAACTGGTTTTGCTCAGTGTTTCATCACAGCAACAGAAAGTAACTAGAATAGGGTAGATTCTTATTCT